GTGTGTGTGTGTGTGTGTGTGTGTGTGTGTGTGTGTGTGTGTGTGTGTATAAAGAACAACTGTTTGAGCATCCAAAGGATACTCCCACATACAAATTGGGTACAGCTTCGGGCGGCAGTAATTCATCGGCCATCTCCGGAGCGAGGGTGCGTTTGATACGCTCGCGATAGGACAGCCGCACGCACTTGTTGAGCGTCTCCACAACAAACATGCGCTTGGGATCCAAATCAGGCAGGGCCAAAACCTGTAGTATAACATACCAAAGCACAAGTATTCAGTAGTAGTACAACATACATATGCACAAGTATTCAGTAGTAGTACAACATGCATATGCACAAGTATTCAGTAGTAGTACAACATACATATCCACAAGTATTCAGTAGTAGTACAACATACATATCCACAAGTATTCAGTAGTAGTACAACATACATATGCAAAAGTATTCAGTAGTAGTACAACATACATATGCACAAGTATTCGGTAGTAGTACAACATACATATGCACAAGTATTCAGTAGTAGTACAACACACATATGCACAAGTATTCGGTAGTAGTACAACATACATATGCACAAGTATGTAATACACTATGATGCTACAGTGCTCGACCTCTCTGCGTGTGTTACAAAGTAAATCACGAGTATACAGAAGCGAAATGTATGTCATATAAGAAGGATGAGCGTTGTCATAGCAGCCACTTTTGCGAGGCAATCTCATGTGAGTACATATATAGTCATATGTGTTTTCCGTTGGATCCGTCTATAAAGTGTGTTTCAACTATCAAATATATACACATGCCACGTGGATAAACGTTAGATTGGCACTCGTATCCACACCGAACACCCACTTGGGTTATCATCCAGGCAGTACTAAGACCTGCATAGGGACATAGAGGCGTGTGGAAGGCTTCCATATACGAGGTCATCTATACAATACTACACACACCTCACACCATTCATATAATCCTACACACACCTCACACCATTCATACAATCCTACACACACCTCACACCATTCATACAATCCTCCACACACCTCCGACCACTCGTGCCACTCCCACTTTTTCACCTCACACCATTCATACAATCCTACACACACCTCACACTATTTATACAATCCTACACACACCTCCGACCACTCGTGCCACTCCCACTTGAAGTCTATGTTGCTAAAGTGCCAGCTGAGCCATGCGCTGAGGCGTTGCACACACTCGATGTCCATGTACTCCACTCGCTCAAACAGCAGATGCACTGCCGCCCGTACAATGCCTATGAAGGGACTCTCAGGCAGCTTGCACAGTTCCTGGTGGTTGGTGGTTGGGTTGTGCATGCGGGTGAGTGTCGGTGCAGATGATGTAATACGCATGTGTATATGGCTATAACGTATATTGCAAATGATGTGATACGCAAGTATATATATATATATATAAGTTTGTTAGTGTATAGGTATGGACAGATACGTGATAGCTGTCGCAGTTTTAACCACAGTATGTGCTAAAGCCCGAAAGCTCAAACGGCAAGTGAACTTGCCCTTTGCAACGCCTATTAATTGGCACTCGGCAAATCACACAATTTGTGATAGTTGTATATGTAGGTGCGGGAATATCGGTGAAAATAATGCGGTCATGTGGGTGTGTGTGTAAATATGCATATATGATGTGTGTGAATGTATGTGTATATGCATATATGCGTAAATGTATGTAAACATGTATATATATATGTGTGTGTGTGTGTGTGTGTGAATGTATGTATCTGCGCATAAATTTGCTATCGCACAGGTGCAGACTCTCTAGCAACTGGCA